AGCCACAATTAGGAATCAAAACGTTAGATATCAGAATTTGGATTCAAATTTATGACTATCAGTATCAAGAAGCTCATTAAGAAAAATCAAATAAGGAAATAAAATTGGGAAAATTTAATCGTAACGAATTCGATCACAAGAACAGTGCAGAACCAATCACGAGTGTACTTACTCTAAAGGAAGTAATCTTAGAACTAGGTTCAGAAGTTCCAATCTAAGACGTGAAAGTCAATCGTAGGCAAGAGATTCATCGACATGACATCAAGAAAAAGGGCATATGGAACCAGAAATTAGAATTACGAACTACTATACGAGAAACACCCGTCTTCCGCAAACTGCACTCCACCCATCTCCATTACCCCTCCCCTCCCACCACGAAACTTACCCCCCACACCTTCTTAAGGGAGAGCCTCCCCCCTCTCGTCAGAAGGAGAAGGCCACCAGGCCAAGCCCAAGGCTCGTTGCGATAGCCAGTGCCGAGCCTGCCGACGACACCTCGCACGAGTTCCGCTCTGGCAAGATAGAAGGCAGTGATTAAGTCGACACAGAAAGACAAGCAACTGAGGACAGATAAGAACATAACACAACAGCAGAAGGGATGAGAAAGGGTGAATCAGAGAGAAACAACTTACTGTTCCACACGACAATCCAGTCCATCCCATCCCAGCCTCCACCCCACCCCATCCACACACGGGATCAGCTAAATGATGCTGATCATAAGACGCTTCCTCATCTTCGTGATTGCGTTGTTCTTCCTACTTATGGCGATGTCAAAGATCTCCCACTATAGCAACAAGCAGAAAAAAAACAAGAGTTTCAACCGGCGCTCCCGTCGCACTCGCGGACCAACCACCACATGGCATCGCTCCGGATGAAGGGAAGCAACAAACACTCACAGCACAACCACCACGTGTCCCAGCCAAGGATGATAGCACCAAGAACGTATACTAGTCGCCACGAACCTCATGCACCTCCCACCAAACCCGAAGGCTTCCCTTCAGCCGTTGTGACGCGCCAACCTCACCGCGTGCAACTCCCTGTGTGCTGCCATCAACCTCTGTTCTCTATGTTGCTTCGCACCCAGTGCCGGTTCGGCGGGCTCATGCAAGCGGGGCGCAGCGCTCCCGGCAGCCCTGCTTCCCGCCAGTGTGCCCACCATATTTAAGAAATGAATCTGCACCTGCCCGTAGAATAAGAGAACACCATGGTCTCATGTCTCCCTCTTCTCGACACTTCAGGGATTACCTTCTGTCCATCCTTTTCTGCCATGATTCTTCTTGTCTGAGATTCGGCCCAAAATTTCCCGCCATTTACCTCTCTTCTCAAGTCATCAGCTTTTTTTTTTTCCTCCCCTTTTTGATAAAGTCGGAAACAAAGCAGAAGTTTGGTGACATGTTTATTTTGTTCCCAACAAGCTCCAATCTATTCCATGGGCCTGCTGATAAGTTATTCTTGACTTCCTCTTTTTTTGTGGTCGATGTGGTGTGATTGACTGCAGGTTACTGGCAGGTGCTCACTGGCGATTCTCGCGAGTTGATGCACGTACTTTGAGTTCGAAAGTGAGTGGAGCATCCTCCTCTGTGGTTTTCATTCTGAACCCTTCTTTTTTTTTATAAAGAAAACAACTTTCAATTAAAACCAGGAAGCGGGCCCGACGTCCCTCGCATGAATGCTGCGGCCACACGGGGCTGTGAAAGGCACTCCCGGCCAGTCCCACCCCCAACCACAGTCATCCAGCCGCTGAGACCCCGGCCTCTCCGCCCCATAGGGCCCCATGTTGCAAAAATAAAAGAAAATGAAATTCTGAAGCGGGTAGCCCCCAGCATTATTCTTCATTAACAGTTAATAAATGTTAATACCTTTGTGTATGATTCCTTTTCTTTTTTTCGCTCTTTGTGTACCACAGTGTAGCACCCCGTTCGGGGACAGAACATGTTCGGGTGTTGACGAAACCCCCAAACATGTTCGCTGTGCTACATAGATGCACCATTCAGTGACACGGGCTGGGTGTCTGCCCCTCCAGGTTGATAGCCTTGAGCTGGACTCCAAAGCAAATAAATAACCGGAAAAGATCATTATGTTTCAGAATAAATCATGACCTTTCCTTCTTTCCTCCCTCCCTCCTTTCATCCATCTCTCCCTCCATTCACCTCTCGGTTTGTCCCTACTTCCCTCCTTTTCTTCCCTTCCCCTCCTCTCCCTCCTCATTCTTTCCTCGAAGTTTCTTCCCTTACCTCCCAATCTCCCTCCATCCCATCCCCTCCTCCATTCATCCTTTAAACCACCACTACCTCTGAAAGGCGGGGCGCTTAACAAGCCGCGACAATGATGAACGAATGGGGCTCTACGGGAGCGCCCAAATTCATCCGACTAGAAACACTTCTACTCTATTCTTTTTCCCGTGGCCGATATATGAGAATGGTACTGGTGGTTTAATCCCCTGTTCTCTCTCTTCCTCCTTTCCTCCATTCCTTCAGCCCGCTCTCTCTCTTTGCTTCTTCGGTGGATCTTCACCAGTCTTTTGCCCCTCATCAAAATTTCCCAACCTTTTTATGTGTTCTGCTTGCTACATTGTCCCAAGTTGAACCTATTTAATATGTGTTAAATTGTTAATGGCTCATCCTCCTTACTTTTGTATCACTATTCCTTTTCTTCACTTTGGTCTCTTGGCCATTGTCATTCACCAGCTTTGGTGGTACACAGCGTAGTGACTATCATAAATTTCCTAGCAAACACTCTGCTAAAGAGAGACATGGAATTAAACCACCGCTACCTCCACCATATATCGGCCGCGGGATCCTCACCAGAACTCTCGGAGGCCCACGCACGACAAAGGCCGTTGATGAGATTTATCAACGGCCGCGGGTCCCCGAAAGTCGAGGCGCGTTTACGTCATGTCCCCCGCGGCCGATAAATGGCCGAGGTACTGTTGGTTTAAGCAATGATGATCTCCAAATTGAAACAGTTACTGTGTCTTGAACACTTGGGTGGTACTTCTGCCGGGAAGGGGTTTCAAATTCCGGTGCATTTATTTTCAAGAAACAAGTGCAGATGCGGCAGGTTTTGAGTTCACAAAGGCAAAACGAACGCACCAGGGCAAAAAAAAACAGCTGAGGAACTCGAAAGGGCAATTATTTCAGTTGAAATAGATCCGTTGGCCCTTTTTTTTTTTTCCCCTTTCCCAGCTGACACTACGGCCCGCCCCTGTAGCCATGACACTGTGTCTCTGTCACGGCCGCAGTACTTTCATTGCTTTTCCGAACTCGGTGGCTGTTTTCTTTGCCCAAGCGTGTTTTTTTTGCCCATTTGAAACTCTGTCCTGACATAAACGTACATGCCCCTATTTTCAAATTTCCATCCTATGTATGGTCCTTTAGGAGTGGCCATTAAAAACTACATTTTGACTCTGGTGACACGTAACCAGCTGACCGCAGTCACCGGATGCAGAAGCGGAAGTGAATGTGGACAAGCAGACTGGCAGTGGACAGGCCGGCCACTGCTACTATTTTTAACATTGTGTGTTTATCTAAGATGACATCATCATGATGATGATTGTTCAGTTATTCGCTTTGTTCAACTCCAGCTGTTTCGGCAGAGTAGTGCATCTGATTCCGCACTCCCTGCATTTAGTGCCTACAGGAGGACAGTCCTCCCTAAATTGAAGGCATGGCCCTTTTACCTGTATTGAGAGCAATTTTCACGCCAAATGACGCAGATAATTTGAAACAGCATCATTCTTCATAATGTTGCTAAACTATTGCCATTTTAGTTAATGCAACTTGATGATCTCAGTTTAACCTTTTTTTAAGAATTTCACTTTAGTACCCAAGAAGATGGTATGAATCAGGCAAGTTTCACCTTGTTTTCATTTAAACTGACATTTCGTTAAAACTGATTTTTTTTGGTAAAATCACGAAATTGAATTCAGTGGAAAAAAAATGATTCGAATTTTTTGTGTTAAATAGTGACTTCCATTTGGTATTGAGTCAGTGATGTCTACCCTCACTCGATACAAAATGGAAGCTTAGGCACAATTTTACACCCAAAAAAAAAAAAAACTCAATCAATTTTCACTAAATTCAATTTCTCGATTTTACAGAAAATTCAAAAATGTCAGTTTTCACATTAATACTTTGGATCATGCAGGCTATGAGAATAGATGGAGCCCCTCCCGAGGTGCTAGTAGTGTCTGCTCTTATCAGCACCACTAACACGGAGGGAGAGTTTTCAAAAAAAAAAAAAAAAAAAAAAAAAAAAAAAAAAAAAAAAAGAAAAAAGAAAAAGAAGAAATAAAAAGGGTATAAGCACCCTTCAAGTTAGCTTGGATGCCCACTACCATCTTTTCCCAACCGGCAGACAAATGTGTTCATCATCACTGCGGCTGCATTTAGGACAATTTAGGCCTTAAACAGCTTCTGAATCAATGACTAATATGATAATATCCCATCTTTTTGGGTCAAGATAGTAGTAGTTGATTGCTAGAGGGGTAGTAGAAGGGCTAGTAAGATTATTTATCACCATGGTGACCATGGAAAGCATCACAATGTCGTTTAACCTTATCCTTCGAGCTTGCTTGGCCGTGCTGTCCCTGCTGCACTGGAGGTCTGATTGCTGTTCCTCTGCTCATCGCTGCAGATCTCCAGAGATATCCAAGACCGACTGGTGATGCTCTATGGAGGGACTGAGAGACGGCTTTACGAGGATGGCGGCATCAACACATCTGGAAAGTTTGGTGGAAGCCAATCGGGAATGTACGCAGATGATGGCATGAGCAGATACCGTGCAAGTCGATCAGGGATTTACATGAATAACGACATGAGCAGATATGGCGAGTACCGTGCAAGTCAATCGGGGATGTACATGAATTATAACGGCATGAGCAAATATGGCACATATGGTGCAAGTCAATCGGGGAGCTATGGGAGTGGTGCCATGAACTACTCCCCCTGGAATTTCCCAACGACCTTTTATGGAGGAACTCGAGGACCCAATCTACAAAATCAGGGACCTTACATTGGTTATGCTGAGACTGGAGCAACCACAATGACTGATGGTGATGAGACTGTGTGGCTTGGTGCCAGCACAATACCTCCCTTTAGCCATGCTCCAGGCATGCAAGAGCGTTTCCCTGGAATTCCATCTCCAATGGCCCTTGACGGTGGTTACTTTGAAGAAAGCTACTCAATCCCCGGCCTTGGAGTCTACGTGGTTCCTGAAAAACCCTATTCTGTGCAAACGTATTCAGGACTTCGTGGGGCCGGGAGAGTGGGCCCGCCAGAGTGGCCAGGCTACTTTTTTGACTATAGATATGATATGTCGTACAGGGACAGAGGTGTTCGCTATCGGAACGTTTTGGCGTCTTTTTTTCAAGCACCGCCTGGCTATTACCCAGGGTACCCTATTGCAAAGCTCTCTCTAAGAGGGGCGGCAGGGTCTGTCCCCTACCAACAACAGTACTTTCCTCGACGACCAGGTGGATACTACCCTGGTACGGTGGGCATGGGGGGTATTTATAGACCATTTGATTACAATGCTGGGCCTTATGGTTTCCAATCATTCCAACATCAGAGGAGTCAAGGGAGACCTTGCACAAACTACTATGATTGCAACCTTACAGGCGATTTATACGACTATGGCACATCTGGTAGGGTCTCAAACCCCAAAATTTAATTTGATGTACGCCCTTCCCAGACAGGAAGCACAAGCAGCAGTGGGTACTACCTGGGAGGCCCTTCCCAGACGTCTTATTACAGCCCCATGGGATACTTGTACTCTTCTCAGAGAGGCCCCTCAACACCACTTGGGCCAGGCTATTACAGTGGGTACTATGCAGGCAGACAGAACAGTTATCGTCAGCAAAGGCCTGCAGGCGTTGCTGATTCCGCTTATGATTATAATGATGGGGTAGGAGGTTCCCAGTAAGGGAAACACATGAGGTGTGCAAAGCAGGCAAGCACCACAGGGCCCAAGAAGAAGAGGTATGGCACCCATAGATATTTCTGGTACATGGAAGGTCCCAAACCTCCCCTGTATGATCATTATGATTGTACAGATAGTTCCAGCCTCCAGGGCTCCATGACACCCAGATGACGGGATTAAGGTGCAGTCCCAGGGTCGGCAGCTTCTGCCTGCTGGGTGGGTGCTCGCAATTTGACAGGGGTGAGGTGGCTTTCCAACTGCACAGCGGCCCACGAGTTACATACAAGGTGGTTTTGTCCACTCTAGTGTTCAATGGGCAGTTAATCCCCTCGAGAGATGGTAATCAATGCTGTGCGTCACCTGTTGTTCGCAATTATTCAATTTGGCTCCTGTTCCGTATTTGGGATGCTCCCCACCAATAGATGGAGCCACCCCCCAGGTGCTAGTGGTGTCTGCTCATAACAGCACCACTATCACTGGTAGGGACGTTTCTTTAAATAAAAAAAATAAAAAATAAAAAAAGGGACGGTGGACCCAGTTTCCAGCTGCTGCCGCTCCCCGCCAATAGATCTGAGACACCTACAAGTGAAAAAAGAGAACAAAAAGAAAAGGATTGTACTGRCAGTCCTGAGTAAGGGAACCGGGTAAYTCATGCAGCACAAGCACCATAGAGTTACAAGAGCTAACATGTATATTTCTGGGTCACCAAAGGTCCAAGACCCCCTCTTTGAACAGATATCGGTGGAGCACTGGATGCCACTCGTAGACCCTTTGGAGGCGAAAGTCATATCTTCAAGCGTCCATCTCCACCGTTTAGATTTAAGGTGGATAATGTTATTCACTGCAACATGATCAAGCGGTTTGAGTCCTGATAAGTTTCTAGATGGGTTCAGTGAAGTACAAACTGGTATCATTCGAGAAGGCGTGTAGTTATCTTCAAAGTATTCTAGTAGTATCTTCATGACTTGTGTTTCTCAGCCGAAGCCAGGTAATGGCCCTGGTATCACAAGTATACAGAAGCCAGGCAATGGCCCCCGTATCACAAGTTTTCTGTATGAAGGTCATATGGGACGCTGGGCCCGGTTCCCAGCAGGTGCTGCTCCCCACGAATAGATTGGAGACTCGTGTTTGAAAAAGAAAAAAGAAAAAAACTTTTCCATGCATTACGCACAGTGTCACTGCATGAAGGTCAACATGATGATGATCCCCGGAAAAGCCTTTACAATTGGTCCATCCATATATTACTTCAGTGGGAATCCAAGGGGATCCTACAGCAGGGTGTGAATTGAGAGCCTGGCACCGTCTTCCCCCGAATAGAATGTCAGGTCATCATTTAACTGTCATAATACCTGTATATTTGGGTACAAAACTACCAGTCTAGACACAGCCATAATGACAGTCCATTCAATGTCACCGTGGTGGAAGGAGATAGGACCAAAT